ACGAAAATAAAACCCCTCCGTGGATAGCCAATCCCCGGCAAATGTTAAAAATAAACAAATCCGTCCGATTGCGAGTTCCGAATGTTGTCACATAGTCACGCTACACCTGCTTAAAAATCGATTATGTTGACAGTTTAGACTGAATTACGTCCCCTATTTGTTACGTCATGAGAGCCATTCGAGAAACCGCTCGAAATTTACTGAGGCCTACTTCTACTTGACTGGATCTACGCATGGCTCATTTCATCGATAATAGTGATAGTGAGGGCGAAATTCCAGAGGTAGATTTGTCAATACGAATTCAACCCTATATGTTCGAGCCTGTACGAGAAAATCTGCAAAGGGAAAGTGACAATTCTTCTAGTTCTAGCTCTTCTGAAGACACGGACGAGGAAGCGTCACAAGGCGAAAGTGAAAGTATTTGGTAGGCTATAAAATATTATTTATTTACTGATTCATTATTATTCCAAAGTCTCTGTACATTTTATTATTTTTTCAATTCAAACCAAAAGCCACCTGGTAAATTTATTTCTTCAAATAGCACCAAATGATAAAATAAGTCACATGATATAATCCCAGGTAAATACGGAAGGAAAGTGAAAGTGGACTTGGAATTATTTGGCTCTACTCTACCGTGGTCGCAAACTCAGTGGTATATCGAAATCTGTCGATTTTTGTTAAAGTTATTTAATATATTGAAACTAGTATTTCAATTCTCATAAAAATTAATGAAGACAGTAAATGATCATTATTCAGCCATTCAGGTACAAGTGACATTTATGTTTAGCCTATATCATTATTTAAAGGTGCTAAGGAATTAATTTGCTCCCATGTTCTTATTATTATTCAGGTGCAAATGTGAAAAGTGCAGATCAATGCCAACAGCTAAAGAAAACAAGTGCTGTAGGAATATGAATGTTGTGGATGGTAAGATTGAAGAGGAAGGTCTTACTTGTAATAACTGAGCATGAAGGGTTTGTGGCCAATTGTCTGAACAGATATGTATTGGTGACATCATACTACGAGTATGTTCAAGATAATGGTCCTTTGGATCAACACGAAAGGATTCACAGGTAAGTTTAAAATACATTGTGTAAATTTTTTTTGTCTTTCCTATATTCATAAATTATGTAAAATACTGAATGGAGAATATATGATTGTAATTGAATGTTTTTGTTAATATTGCACGTTTTTAATATATGAGGTCAACATCTTCTGAATGTACTTCTGCATTAGTATTTTTTCACATCTTTTAACTATTTCAGAATATATCGCCACATAGCATACCGCAGATTTGTAAGATGGATATACCAAAGACTTGGAAAGAAGAACAGGCATATTTTGCCTTCGTGTGTAGTGACCAAAATCCGGGAAGCATTTCCTTCTCAGCATTATTGTGGTTTTAAATATCCAAATTAATACATTTTGTAAATAAAAACTACATAAATATATATTGAGGTTTTTTTAATTAAATCGGGAACAATGTGCATTTACAATGTCACGTTTTTCAGCATGGACTCCTTCCTTTGCTTTCCTGGCGAACAACAGCGCCCATCTCCACCCAGTCGCAATGGTTCACCAGCTGACCTTGCATAATCAAACAATCTTGTCTGGCTGCCTTCCCAGACATCATTAATGGTAGGTACCAGGTACAAACTCTGGATGTTCATGAAAGTCGATATGCTAAACATTTGTATGCTAGCATGGTTACACAGCGTAATGAATTTCTGAGCACTTCCACCAGAAAACAAAATGGCTCCGGCAACTATTAAATTTCCAAGAGGCATAATACTTGACGTCGGCTGACTTTCCCAATGTTTATTGGCACAACAGTTTTTACTTTGACATAACTGCCTACAACAAACTTGGAAATTTCGCACAGACACCCACATGAAGTGCATTTCCTAAACAGATTGTCTAAACAGGATTCAAAAACAATGAATTTGCGTTCTTTAGCAGGGTTCTCTTCATTATGTTCAGTGTCTGACAAATCTTCATCTGGAATCCAGTCAGGGTCATCTTGAGAATCATCAGTTATAGTAAAACTTGTGTCCAATGAAGTATCACTTTTCTCTTCTGTCAGTGTACCCTTGTTGACTAGTTTGATGACAGAGGCAACTCAATGTTGGTCTGGACCTTTGCATGACGTCTCTTCTGAAATAAAAAGATTTTCCATTAATTAATTTCCATTCAAATTAAACACAAATTTCAACTAGTCTAGATTCTAGGACAGCCAATACCATAAACAATGAGGCATAACATCTGGAGAAAAGTTGAAGCCTTCAGGTACATATTAGGCATATACCTTTGAACAAATTATGGTCTGAAATTTCACCTCGGTAAAATCATATTTCCAAATAATTTTTTTTTAACAGTTGGCATTATCATTAATCATTAAAATTTCAATTCATATAAAAATAATCGGCAATCGATTTAGAAAATGAGACACACACTGACAGTGACAGTAGGCCTAGTCTACTTTACCCCTATGCGTCTTCTCTTTTCAAGAGCTGTTGATTTTCTGTTTAGGTCTAATGCCGATGGATTCTTTTGCGTACGTTTACCATTATTATTCTGTGGGTCGGTGTAATCAAATATTGTTGGTATAGCACCAGTTATCAACATCTTTGTCTTCGCTTGAAACCCAACGGCTTGTACTGGCTTGGTTGAAATCCGTCTCTTTTCAGTTTGATGGTCGATTCCTTTCTCAATTTCGGATCCTTCGGAAATAAATACATACTTATTCTATTTCCCGACTTCACAGTACAATTCATAGCGGCACACTGGACCATTTTCAATAATGTTAAAAAGTTTCGCTTTGTAGATCGTCGTATTTCTCTTTCTTACAGAAGGCAGTAGGTTAAGATCACGTGACCGCGATGGCTCTAGTGACGTAACTCGTAAAGGGACATAACCGTTGTACATACAAAATAACTCACGACACAGGTAAACGTTTCAGTCACCTGTACATGTTCCTGAGGCCGAAATCGCGTAAATAAAAGAAACGATGCTTTAAGATGGTATTTTATCTATTTAATCATCACACATTGAAGGATTTCAAAGAAAGTATTCATATTGACCTTTAAGGGATTATCAGATTATCGGGTTGGTAATCAAGTTATTGTAATACCAAGCAGTGGCTTTATACTTCACTAGACTAGAGATGTCATTAAATTTTGCATTTGACCGACATTGAAAGCCATGTAATAGTAGTGTTGAAATGGTTAGTGAATTTTACGAACAGGGTAATCGTCGGCGATAACCGTTTGTTACCCGTGTAATTCCGGAAGATTATAAAAGGAGTCAAAAACTAAACTAGAGTAAGTGTAAATGAGTACCCATGAAGATTTTGGCTAGTTCCCCGCGAATTGTCGGTACAAATCGACAGATACCAAACAACCCATTGATGACAGAGTTCAGACGGACCTGGCGCCATTGTCACTCATTGCTACAGTCTTTAGATAGGTAGGTAGATGACAAGTTAACGTTCGCTTCCAACGGATGCTGATGTCGCAAACTATACAGTCTTTAACAGATCAAAGGTTTTTATACCAGTTGTGGGGTCAGTGTAATGAATGAGTGTATCTTGACCACAATTCTTGCAACTCCTTAGTGTTTTGATAATTGATACCCTATCTTGATTTATTAATCTCAACTATTCAATCAATAAAAGATATATTTACTAAAGAAAACAGCTTAAAGACTCATACAGTGACGAATTACTTCTTATAAAATTGACGGTTAACCGATTATCTCAAATCAGACCCGGTGAAATACTACCCGAAATCGGTTAATTGATTAACCGTTTCAACACTATGTAATGGCTAACCTATACTTGATGTCCGATAGAGGATATTGACCGCCTTACAGAACCAAATCAACATCCCTGTTCTGCTTTTACACAACGTAAAGCAGACATTTTCAAAACTTTTAAGGCTCATATCTATTTTTTTTTTTTTTTTTGTGTTGACCTTTTGACCATCACAAAAGTTTTTGTGCTTGACAAGATCTCTTCAATATTATATTTTTGTTGTGCAATGCATACTTCCGGTTTTACAGCTATGTGAAAATCAACTTTTTACTACAAATGGTAACACCTTTTACTGTCAAATGTTATCAAAGTCATGTGTCTTTCAATGCCGAACGTTTAATGGTTTACTACCGAAAGTTAAAATGTTTTTTCTTTTTGGTTAAAAACCCACGTTTTCACCAAAGTAGCAGGTCGGACACACACTGTCCTGGTTCCGTCCACGGATCTTTTTAACATTATCCCTGAAATTGTGAACCTGACTAAGTATTGATGTACAATTATATCTGTGTCAAGGTGTTACGAGAATAGAATTCCCATGTAAAGCACAGGCCTAGGTCATGAAGTAAGTCAGTAAGTACTAAAAAAAAAAGCGGTATCTAATCATCACGATCATCTGAAGCAAATCTCATATATATTTAAAAAAAACAAAATTTTGTATACAAAAAGCTTCTCTTCTTATAAGTCACTCAGTTTTTAACTTGTTCAGATTCAAACCAGCTCCTCAGATCTTTAAGTTTGATCCCACCTTGGTTTTTTTTGTTGTTGAGATTTTGATGTGTTTATTTATTTTGATGGTTTTGATTCATTGTTTTCTCATTTGGTTTAATTTCTATAGTGGTGATTGAGAAAACTTTAATGTATAACAGTCCATGTACCCTTCCAGTTATTCCTAAACTCCTTCATTTTGTAGATCTTTTATCGAAAAGAAAGAAAAGAAACTAAATTTTTACATGGATTAGGTTTATCAGGTTTCTTTCTACCAGCTGATCCTTGGACGAAACTCTTGGCATTGGTCTTTTCCAGATTATCTAGAATTATGAGTGAAGATGAATTATTCAAGGTCATGAGACGCCAATAGAACCCATTGCCAAGCAAATGATGTCATGTAAAAATGATAAATTAGTTTGTTGGTATCAAATGGTAATAAACAGAATAGTCACATGAATTAATTTACCTATGTATGTTTCAGGGTTTATGCAGTGCCTTTGATGTAATAATGGTTTGTAGAATAGATATGTTGTCTATATTGAAGATTCGTTCATCATCATCGTCATCATTAATCAATAATTATAACAACAATGTGACTAAACAGGTATTATTTTTATTCTAGTTTGTTTACCCTGAAGATTTAGTCACCTTTCTCGTATCATGGAAGTTTGTAAATGGAAAGTTTGATTGGATAGAGCCAATCAGGGTCCTAGAGAAAAAGTGAATATAAAGCCGTTATGTTTACAGCCTTTCTGTCAAGGGCTCTGATTGGCTGATTTACAATCCAATCGGAATGCTACATTCCATGATACAAGAATAGTGGCTTTTGCAGTCAAGGTATAAGTACAAAGTTCGTAATAGCTTGACATTGTGAAGATTTATTTGCTTATGGTTGGGATTGTAATCAGCAACTGTTCTTTCTTTTATTTAAATTTCATTTCATCGTTTATATGTCCAAAAAAAAAGGAAAAGTAAAATGTTATTATTCATAAATGTTATATCCTTTTATTCAGAAATATAAACCATGGTTAAAGTATTTGTTATTACGTCAGCTGTGTTTGTTATTATCTGGTGTATTGTTATTGATTTTGCGCTGGAGAATCATGGGATATGCTACACCAACATTTCAAATTCATGACAATCCACATTCCTTCGTTGATGGTGCTATATTCCGTGTAAGTTATCCAATATGTTTTCTTCATTGATCATGCTATAAATTTTAGAAATTTGATTTAGGTTTTCTACTATACCAATTAAAATTTCTGTTGTTGGTATACTATTTTTGTCAGTGGCCCATTCTAAATTCGCTATAAGATATTCATGTTCACATATTTCATAATGTTTGTGTTATGATTTATTTATTACAGGCTATAAATTATATTTATCTTTATGCAATAAATATATGGATATTGATAAATCCAGGATGGTTATGTTTTGACTGGAGTATGGGATGTATTCCTGTTATAACATCATTCAGTGACTACCGTGTTTATATAGCAACTACATTTCTAGCATCCATTATTTTGTTGTTGTTATATTCTGTTAAAGATACCAGCAAACATCAGAGGTAGGCACATACTCTAGAGGTATTAGAAGTGGCGGAGTCAGGTTGACGTCCAAGGGGGGGGGGGGGGGGGGAATATCTGAAGTTGCCCAGATTTCTAACCTAGATATGAGAGTCATGCCTGAAAAACTTGCATAGGATGTTTAATAGGGGGTTGCTTCCCCCTCTGCGGCTCCGCCACTGGGTCTTACATTCCTAGCATCCATTATTCTAGTGTGTTCTTCGAATGTACTGCTTTGTTATGCAAATGTTTTTTTTTTTTTCGAATTGGGGTCATCACATATATACTGTTAAAATTCTCCCGTTAATGCCATGAGAGTAAATCTGATGAATGTATTTTCACGCATTTTTTTCCAACCAGAAATGACGTAGAACAAAATCCATTTTTAACGTTTTTGTATTTACGGCTCCAGTTTGGATCGGATTTGTGAATTAAATTGCGCTATTGGCTATTCAAAGTATTTATATATTTTGACTTTTGTCGCTGACTTTTTTACTTTCAATTTTTGAGGTTTTTCACTTTTTTTCTAACTTCTACAATTTTATTTCGATCGATATGAAAACTTAAATATAGGTAGACATTTTGATTGCAAACTAAAATCAAATTCTTTTTCCAATTAGTTACAAAAGTCCCAATTAAGATGATGGAATGAATAAATTTGTGTGTGGACGGGCTTTTCTCTTGCTGGAAGGTGTGGTTTTGACGTCTTACAAAATGCGGTATGTGGGGTCGGAGAACCTGGTTGATGTAATGTGTGATTCTGGAAGTCAACAGATCCAAGTCTCTAATTGCACCCCATATCATAATGCTTGATACTCCCCACGGGTCACTTTCAACCACACACTGTTCTGTAAAACGTTCACCTCTTCTTCGACACACATGTACTCTGCCATTTGCAGATGCCGCCAATGTTGTCGTTTGGTTGCCCTTGCAAGACGTTTCTGACGATGATGGGTAGTGAGTACTGGACCCCTGTATGACGACAAGACTGGTTTCCAGATTTCGAACGGTATCAGCACTGATGGGTTGCTGATGGTGGCCAATGATCTGACAAGCTCTCTGTGCGGATCTGTCATGCAGATGTTGCCACAGGATATTGTGATCTTGTCTTGGGGTTGTGACTCGGGAACGACCAATACATGGACAGTCATTAGTGCTGTTGGTTGTGTTGTAACGAATCCAAAGTCTCTCAATGGTTCGTACTCTACAGTTCAATGCATTGGCAATGACTTTTAACAAATTGTTCGTCATTTAATTGTCCGATGGCTTGTTCACGGTGTTGGAAGGTTAGACCTGCCATGAGCTCACTGTCTTCACAGCAAATGAATTCTCAGAAGTCGTCACTTTGTTTTTATACAGAACTTTGGTACGTGTTGCAGGTGCTTTTTGATTTTCTTCCGCATCACTTACAAGGTTCACAACTCTTAAATCAAATGTCATAAACTGGCCTTTTTAAAGTCTAAATATCATATTTATAAAGAAAAATAACAAATGTTATAGTGCACGACTTTGTCCAAATAATCTAAAAATGCGACGTTTCTTTTTCTGTTGAGTATATGTGAGTTATACCAGGGGGATAAATAGGGGTAAATAATGGACTTATCGGTATTTCAATTACTTATTCAGTATGTCGGTATTTCAATTACTTATTCAGTATGTCAGTATTTCAATTACTTATTCAGTATGTCGGTAATTCAATTCAATTCACTATCTGTTTTTTTTTTTTTACAGTTTATTAATTTTGTCATTGGTATTACTGATAGTGCCCTTTTTACCAGGGTCTAATATATTTTTCCGTGTTGGGTTTGTGATAGCTGAGAGAGTATTATATTTATCCTCAGCTGGTATGTGTATGTTGATAACTTATGGTATAATCAGTTTAGCCAAAGGAACTGAGAAGAAAAGAGTAAGTAAATTGTTTTTTCTGCTCTAATCAACAACATTTTGGATTATTTTGGGCAAACTATTTACCGACAATTAGTCATGTGACTCACTCATGACGAAGAAATGTGAACATGTTAAAAATCCCGAAAACTGCCGATGAGCTCCCTTTTCTTTCATATTAAGTACTGTTAGCTTTTATTATTTGGTTTCAATTTGAATTTTGTGTTTAATGTAATGCAATCATCACCCATGAATGTACGGTTACAGAATGCTAATCACAGGATTTCATTTACGATGGAGGGAGGGATTGGGAGTGTCATCTGAGCAACCCAGCTCCCCTTTGCAGATTTGAAATGGCACAAGTCATGATGGGGGTCAGCCTCTTCCTAGAAAATCTAAAGCTATTTTGGAAGTGAAATTAGAATAAATTTTTATAGCCTAAAAACGCCAATGAATCTGTGGTGGCTATATGAGCTATCTGATTCTGAATTCCCATAGAAGCTGCTATATTCATTTCATGGAGATGACCTCTACAATTTGTATACGCCGTCCCCCCTGTCCGTCAACTTTTCTGGTGAACACAATAGAGTCTACAGTTTTTATTGATGAGTTCTTGAATTTGAATTTGACAAATTTTTGATGAACAGTTTTTGAGTTATTGCCCTTGACTTAGGAAAAATTTGTTTGTGAACAAAATATAGACTTTAGTTTTAATGAAACTTGGTGTGAGCATATATATTGATGAGATCTTGGTCAAGTTCCAATCTGATGATTTTCGGTGATCGATTTTTGAGTTATTGCCCTTGATTTAGGAAAAAACGCATCAAAGTATGGTAGTGAACACAATGGAGACTACAGTTTTTATCTGATTTTAATGAAACTTGGTGTGATCATTTATGTTGATGAGATCAAGTTCGAATTTGACTATTTTGCTATAAACAGTTTTTAAGTTATTTCTCTTGACTTATCATAAGCATAACAGAGACTATCATTCGTGAAGTTTTAAAAAGTCGTAACTCAGGATTTGACGAAAAATGACTTTTTGTATTTCTGATTTCCTCATCGGTTGGTGCGTCTTTTCATCTGGTAGCCATAACTCTACCCCAATTAAAAATCCTTATATGATCATGTGTCAAATTGTCTTATATGGATTGGAGAAAATTTTGAAGTGTAAAATATCATATCTCGAAAAAAAGTTTGCATGTAAGCAGTAATCTTCCAAGAAGCTTTTAAATCATTATAATCAAATAAGTAAGCTCTGCGTATTTGTTTGTGTAAATTTTTATTCATGGCTGTGAATCTAAAATGCTCTTAAACTTCAATTATCATCTATTTGTTAGTCTAGGTCATGACATTTTTGAAACTTAGTTTTATGGCCTATATTCATAACAAAATCTAATTTGTGCAAGATATTGTTGATTGAAACAAACACACATTATGTAATAAAATGACATAAACTGTCACCTCTATAGCCAACAAATTTTGACGAGTCAAGGGCAATAACTCAAATTCTGTTGAAGGGCTCGAGGATTTATGAATGCTTTATTCTTGTTACGTCACTAGAAAATGCACGCAATCAACGTTCAAAGCCGTCATGTGACTAGATATGGTGACTATATAACCCACAGCTCGATTGTGATCAATTGTCTTTTTAAAGTAAAAGTTGGCAACCAAAAATGCCAAGGGAGGGACACATAGGGAGGGAGGATAAATCCTCGAGCCCTTCGGGCTATATATTCATATAATCCCTCTCATCCATCGTGCCCTTTGAGCGCTCGGATGAGAGGGAATTATATTCCACTATAGCCCTTCGGGCATCTCGGATTTATGAATGCAATTTTAAAGGGTTGACAACTGAAAAACACAACCAATATTAGATTTTTAATATATATTCTTGAAAACCCTGTGGTACATTATTTACAGTCTCCCTCTTTTAAAACTTGGCAAAAGTATCAGCATTCTTCCAACTGGCAGTCTTCATTACATCTGAAATATTACAACCAGATTTTAATGCCGCTGATGTTGCTGCACTCCAAACTGAGTGAGCATTGAAAATACTAGTATCAATCCCAGCGACCAACATACTCTTCTTGATCCATCCCGCGATGGTGGATGCACAGACAGCACTATGAGTATGAAAAGAAATAAAGAGTTGATCAGACTTCCTTATGTCTGCAGTCTGTTTCAAGTATCTCCTAAGAGTAGCACAAACTTTAACATCTACAAAATTCTATAAATGAATGGAGTACAATGGAGTGTTAACCCATGAAGTCTTCAGGACTTTATTGACTCTTAATGAGACAGAAGAACCATTGTCTAAAATATTGTTTATATCAAATGCAGTTAGTGTTTGACATCTCTGACTAGTACAAAGTGACAATAAGTAGACACATTTATATATTAGGAGTTTAAGGGAAAGATTTTCCAAAGGATGTACGGTGGAAAGATAACGCACCAAGACAGAGACATCCCAGGTCACCAAATATTTAGGCCTAGGAGGCTTCCTATCATAAAGACCTTTCATGAAGCGCCTGACTAAAGACTGATCTTTACCAAGAATTTTCAATGTTTAATTAGCTGATCTGAGAGTGTTAACAACACTATATGAGCTCTCGATTGAGAGATCAGCCAGATGATTTATAACATTTCCTAAAGACGGATCCAGCGGATCATACTTACTTGGAAAAAGACCAAAGACACCATCGGCGCCAGACAAGATCATACTGTTTATTGGTTCCAGGTCTCCAAGACTGGAGTATGATTTCTCGAGACTGCGTTGAAAGGCCTGATTCAAGGAGATATTTCCAGATATTACACATCCTGTAAGGAAAAGGCTTTTCCCTCTGAGTGGATGTAATGCATTGTTGTGAGCCAGACGAAGCAAATCTTTCCTTCGTGGCAACAGAACAGGTGGCTTGATGAGCATGTCTAAGAGTATAGGGTACCATACCTGTGAAGACCATGCTGGAACTACCAGTACAGCTTCCTTCACCATGTCCCTTTTTATACGCCTGCATCTCTCTGTGGACGTTTATTGTTGGCACCCCTGTTGGTTCGTCCGTCCGTCTGTCCGCCCATCCGTCAACATTTGCTTGTAAACTCTCTAAAAACTAGAGTTTTTGATGGAATCAACTGAAATTCGGTATGTGTCTACATATTCATAAAACGAAGATCAAGTTTGAATTTGAGCTATTTTCGGCATTGGAAGCAGAGTTATTGCCCTTGCCCCAAAATCTTGAATATGCTATTTTGATGAAACTTAAAATAAATGTTATTGGACCTAAAGCAAAAGGTTTGAGAAAGTTTAGTTTAATTTCAGACTTTTTAAAGATTTAGGCCTCTTACGTCAGTTTTGAGGAGTTATCGCCCTTTAACTTCTATACAGTAAGTGCTTCATTCAACATCATTTGCTTGTAAACGCTCTAAAAACTAGATTTTTTTGATGGAATCAAATGAAATTCGGTTTGTGTAGACATATTCACGAAGATCAAGATTTAATGTGAGCTATTTTCGACCGTAAGAAGTAGAGTTATTGCCCTTGCCCCAAAATCTTTAATATTTACCATCCGCATGCTGTGGTCCACTATCTTTATCTTTTCGAAAACTCGCAGGATCAGACTGAAAGGAGGAAATATATATGGTTTAAACTTGGTCCAAAGAACGGAAAAAGCCTTAAATGCAACAGAATAACGATCTGAAAACCAAGACACGTATGTTTCCAACTGAGTATTTATACGAGAGGCAAAAAGATCGATATCAGGTGTAAAATATTTCCTACATAGTTTTTGTAAAACATGTTTATTGAGTTTCCACTCAGTGGAGTAGGAAAACTGTCGAGAGAACTTATCTGCCACAGTATTACAGCAACCTGGCAAATGCTGGGCAGATAGAAATATTTTGCGATCAATACACCATAACCAGATATCTTTGACCAGTTCAAATAGAGCATCACTTGATCCTCCAACAATGTTAATATGAGCTATGGCCACAATGTTATCCGATAGAATTCGAACATGTTTCCATGAAACATTACTGGTAAAACGTCTCAAGGCATGGAAGATAGCAAAAAGCTCCAAAAAATTGATGTGCAAACTCGACTCGGAAATGGTCCATAAACCATTAATATGATAGTTATCAAGAACGGCCCCCCAGCCCAAATTCGAGGCATCTGTTGTTAGGACAACTGAAAAATGAAGAACCCATTATATGAATCCACATGGTGAATCCTCCATTCTAATTCATATTTCATATCACTATTAAGATATATTAGAGCGTCATAATCCTGATCATTTCTGAAAAGGGTTAAAGTCTTATGTTTATCTAAATGGTGAATAAACAAAGGAGCAACAATTATAGTCGTTCTTGAAAAGGAACACAGCCCAATAAAAGATTCTACAAATAGTCAGAGTTTCAGATGATAACAAATCACTTGCCATAGTCTTAATTTACATAATCTTATCAGACGTTAAAGAGACTGTGCAAGTCTCTGTATTTATCCATCAAGGATGGAACAGTGTTGGATTTGTCAGCATTGACACAAAAACCAAGACTCTCAGAAAGATCCGATGCCTTCCTAGTTATTTTTATACTTTGATCCCATGTTTTGGCAGAAAAAAGAGAATCATCAATAAAGTAAGAACAGACTATACCTTGTTTTCTTCAGTGAGAAAAAATAGGTTTGAGAGTTTTGGTGAAAATGATAAACCAAAAGGAGTAGTATTAGACCTTTCAATACGTTCGCAAGGGGATTCTGCCACATATTTTTATTCAAAATCATAGCTACCAGTGGGCGTATATTACCTTGCATGGCAAGCTATATTTTTTTTCTATTTTTGTAACCCATGAACAAGAAATGGTTTTAAATGCAGTATTGTGTATATTGTAGGTGATACAGATTGGCATAATATTACTGATTACTTTATATACATCACGATCTATCCAGGTATCTTTCTTTCTTTCATTTTCCATTTTGAGATTCTATAGCACATGATGTCATTTGCTTGATAACCTTGTGACAAATGGCGGCTGTTGATGGTAATGTGAAAGTTTGATGACCTTGAAATAGTCATCTTCATTCATAATTCCAGTCTTCCCAGCTGTAAATGGATACGAAATGTATTATTATACGCCCACATGGAAATGTGTAAATTCCAAATAAAAATGAGAGTTGAATAAAACCAATCATGAAGATGATTAAATGTGATCTCAGTTGTAAAAAAACTATGATGCTTTGACAGGATGAAGATATGAGGCTTTAGACATGAGGCTTTCTGTCAAAATAAACCATTTATTCCTCCAACGTTTCCTGTGTCTAAAAACAAACTTCTTCAGGCAGGCTAAAACAAACACAATTAAAAAAGTAAATGACTGTCATTATTTTGACCGAAGTTTTATTATTTAAAGCCACATTGGAAATGTGGACGTATCTTGTCGTTGCCCTGTCTGTCAGTCCGTCCACATTTCTTGTGAGTACTATAGAGACTACAGTTTCTATTTGATTTTTACTGAAATTTGGTGAGATGATTTATATTCGTGAGATCTTGGTCAAGTTTGAATTTGAGGATTTTTCGATTAAGGGTTTAATAAAACAAATTAGGATTAAGGGTTTAGTAAAATCGCATCCTAATTTGTTCGTCAGCGCAATTGAGACTACGGTTTTCATTTGATTTGAATGAAATTTAGTGATGATTTATATTCATGAGATCTTGGTCAGGTTCGAATTTGAAGAATTTTTTATGAATGTTTTTTGAGTTATTGCCCTTGACTTAGTAAAAACATGTCAAAATTTGTTTGTGAGCGCATTAGACACTACAGTTTTCAACTGATTTTAATGAAATTTGGTGTGATGATTTATATTGATGAGATCTTGGACTGATTCTAGTTTGACAATTTTATGATGAACGTTTTATGAATTATTGCCCTCAAAATTTGTTTGTGAACACTATAGAGTCTACAGTTTTCATTCAATTTTAATGAAATTTTGTGTGATGATTTATATTCATGAGATTTTGGTCTCGAATAAGATGATTTTTTGAAGAACAGTTTTTGAGTTTTTGCCCTTGACTTAAGAAAAATATGTCAAAATTTGTTTATGAACACAAAAGTTTTCAATTGATTTTAATGAATCTTGGTGTGATCATATATATTGATAAGATCTTGGACTGATTTAAATTACACCGATTATTCGATTATTCGATGAACATTTTTTGAGTCATTGCAGTAGTATAAGTGTTTACAGATATACTGCAACTACTCCACTTCACTCCGTAGTTGCAGTAAATCTGTAAACACCCTAGCAGGTGAGCAACTACCCCCATTACCCTCCATACCCCTATAAATCGCCAGGTGAACACAACTTTATTATTATCAATTCAATGGGAGAACATAGCTTTAATGATTATAATTTAATGGGATATAAAAATTCATTCTATGAATAATGAGAATTTCATGCGGAAAATTTCAACTACTTATTATGAACATTTATGTGAATTATATGAATTATTATTGAATTCATGTTAAATGGGTACGACAGCTGAATATACCATCAACATTACAACTCAATCTCCGCAAAGTGAAAGTAAGATTTTATTTTTATATCATCCAATCAAACTTCTTCTTTGCTTCTGAGATTTCTATCAGCCTTTATCATCCAGTCTCTTTTTGTCTATACTTAGTTGCGTTAATTCATTATTGATTTTGTTTGAACGCGAGATACATGTCGCCATTTTAGTCATTAGCTCATGGAGACAAGTACTGTATGGTATCACCCAGCGTAAAGTTAGACTTAACACATATTATTTCCAACATAGAAGAGAATTGTATTGAGGATTATTCAGAGACGGGTATGTAATATTGATTTTTATCGACAGTTTGTATTGTTTTGCTAAATGTAATGTTATACTACGTTATTTAGGTGTGCCAGTCTTGTGAATAGTTAGTGGAGTGTATATAACCCTATTCACAGTAAAATACATTGTGAGTCAATACATGACAGATATAAATGTAATATTTGACAAATATTATTCTTTCTTTTCAGTTTAGCAAAGTAATGAGGAAAAGGATTATTGATTAAAATTTTACTAGTTACGTGGCAATTACTAGTTTGCACCTGCAACCTAGACAGTGTTGATTTATCATTACAATTATTACAGAGTATAACATAAAATGGAGTGATTCAAATGACTACACTGTTAACTTGGCTGATTGCCAAATATAGGACGCTGCGCATGCGTGGACAAAAAGTCTGTGCTTGGTTTTTATATATGGGGGTAGTTTTGTGACCGGCGTGGTACCAGTCGGTTCATCATGTATATTATGTCTTCATCCATGTAAATAAATTATATAATATCAACCAACTTTTCATGGTAGCAGAGCGAAAACAAATATGGCACAAATGAACTACAAAAATCCTCCGGCATTGGGCCCAGAGACAAATTACGAAACGTGGAAAAGTGAAATACAAATATGGCGCCGAGTCACAGATTTAGAAAAGAAGAGACAAGGCTTACTGGGAGAGCCAAAGAAAAGGCCATGGAGATAGATGTCGAAGTATTGAATTCCGATGGTGGATTAGACGCATCGATGAACCAATTAGATGAACTTTTTGAAAAGAATAAGATCGATGAAGCGTATAGCACGTATTCCAGCTTTGCCAATTTGCAGCGGAAAGCGAGTGAATCGATGTCAGACTTTATTTACGAATTTGAAAAGCGCTACAGCAAGTGTAAAAAGCATGGAATGGTGTTACCAGATGCTGTACTTTCATTCAAATTATTGGACTCTTGTGATTTTTCTACGAATGAAAGGAAGTTAGCGTTAACGGCAACAAGTGATTTAAAGTACGAAAATATGAAGTCGGCTTTGACTAGAATATTCGGTAATGAAGGTCAAGGTCAAAGCTCGAAGAAAGAAGATGGTATTTTAATCAAACCGAAAGAAGAAGCCCTTTACACTAAAGATAAACCGAGTTATCAACGGTATGATAAGAGACCGTTTAGAAATTTTGGTAACAAAAATGGCAATAATTCCACTGGTGGAAAATCATCTGTGAATCCAGTTGATAGGAATGGTAAGAGAAGTCGATGTGCGATCTGTCAATCGATATTCCACTGGGCTAGGGAATGTCCAGACAGAGACGCTGAAAGAGTGAAGTACACAGAGACCAGTGGGGCAGACGAGCATGTGACTTTATTTGCAAAAGAAGAAAAAACTACAAATCAAATATTTATGGTAGAGTCTTATGGTAGTGGTGTCATAGATACAGCCTGCACTAAAACAGTGACTGGTAAAAGATGGCTCACCAATTTTCTTGGAAAGTTTAATGAAGAAGAGCGGTCTGCAGTTAAAAAAGAGCCAAGTAGGAAGGGATTCAGATTTGGAGATGGATTACAGGTCAGTTCTTTCGAAAAAGTGACAATTCCTGCAAAAATTGGAGATGTGAAATGTAACATTGAGACGGAAGTAGTGAACACTGATATACCTTTACTACTGAGTAAAGACTCTCTGAAAAAGGCTGAAACAATTTTAGATTTGGTCAATGACAAGGCAGAAATGTTTGGTCAGTCAGTTAATTTAGAATTTACCTCAAGTGGATACTATTGTGTTAATATTCTAGACAATTCATGTGAGGATGTCCTTGTGGTTGATTCAATAGGCCTACAATCACAAGATGAAATGAGAAAAACTATAAATAAGTTACATTTACAATTTGGTCATGCAACAGTTGAACGTTTGACTACCCTTCTAAAGAACTCTGGTCAAATAAAGGAAAATGTTATTGATGTACTTAAATCAGTGGTAGCAAAATGTGATGTTTGTGCACGTTATAAAAGACCAACTCCAAGACCAGTTGTGGGCCTACCTCTAGGAAGTGATTTCAATGATACAGTAGCTGTGGACCTCCATGAACTTGATAAAAATCTTTGGTACTTACACATAATTGATGAATTCACACGATTTAGTGCTAGAACTATTATAAGAAGTAAGGCAGCTTCAGTATTTGTTGATAACTTTATTAAACTTTGGATCGGTATTCATGGTGCCCCTAAAAGATTGTTTAGTGATAATGGGGGTGAATTTAATAATTCACAGGTTAGAGACATGTGTGAAAACTTTAATATAGAATTTAAAACAACTGCTGCTTTTAGCCCTTGGTCCAATTGTTTATTAGAAAGACACAACCAAACACTCACAAACATTCTTCACAAGATACTAGCTGAAAAGATGTGTTGCTGGGAGACTTGTCTAGGTTGGGCGATTATGGCAAAGAACAGTCTGATGAATTGATATATTGGAATTGATTTGAGATGTGATCAAAAAGGGGACATTAATTTAGACCAAAATAAATATGCAGAAAATTTGATGCCTATTAAAATAAAAATGAATGGAACATTTCAGAAAGAAGAACTGTTAGATGAGACTGAAAAGACTGCTTTACGTTCAAAAATAGGTCAGCTCATATGGATTGCTCGTCAAAGTCGACCAGATATTATGTTTGATACCTGTATACTGGCTGGAAAGGTTAAAGAAGCTCGTGTTAAAGATATATTGGAAGCCAATAAGTTAGTCTGGCGTGTGAAATCAGATAAATCTAATTTGTGTTACAGGTATTTGGGTGAAGGACCATTGTCCTTAGTAATTTATTGTGATGCCTCTTTGGCTAATCTTTCTGACGGTGGAACCCAAGGTGGTTATATTGTGTTACTAGTGAATGCGGATGCTGAATTTTCACCTATATGTTGGAATTCCTCAAAAATCAGACGTGTGGTTAGAAGCACTCTTTCTGGTGAAACATTGGCCATGGCAGACGGAATTGATATGGGTATTTTTATCTCTACACTATATTCTGAATTACTTTCTGATAATTGCAACAATAATCGATTGCCACTAGTTTGTATCACTGATAACAAGTCTTTGTGTGATGCTATTAAATCAACAAAATTT